TTGATTTGTTATTTATTAAAATATTTAGTTATATTATATAAATGTAAAGTTATCTTATTAAAATAAAATAAAATAATTCTTTAAAAAATAAAAATAATAATAAATAAAGTTAAAGGGACCAGCAGATGTTGTAATGGTTTATGTCGCTGGACTCCCACATGGCTGACCTCAGTTCGAGTCCTGGATCCGGTGACTTAAAATTCACTACAGGTGTGTGTGTGTTCCTGCCCAAAATCCTGAGAGGAGAATGGAGGAGAAGGGATTTGAGTGTGGCTATCCTCCCCGGAGGGTGATTTCTTACTTTCTGTCTCTCTGCCTCTCCGGCGAGCACACAGGCCCAACAGCAAAAATCCCTCTTAAAAAATAAAATTAAATTGGGAACCAGCAGTTAGCATAATGGCTATGTCGCTGGACTCCCACATAGTCGACCACGGTTCATGTCCCGGACCTGGTGGCTTAAAACTCACGCCGGGTGCGTGTGCATGCATGCCCAAGATCCCGAGAGGAGAATGGAGGAGAAGGGATTGTGGCGTGACCATCCCCCCTGGAGAGTGATTTCTCGCTTTCTGTCTCTATGTCTCTCTCTGTCTGGTGAGCGCACGTGCCCTATAGCAAAAACCTCTCCAAAGAAAAATAAATTAAATTAAATTAAGGCAGAAAGGGCAGGCCAGAAGAAGACTGAGTCCGTCCTGAGAGCTGAGATCTAGTGATTTCAGAGATAAGAGCAATGAAGATATTCAGCTGAGAATTTACCCTGGTAGAGCCCCTGGAGAAAAATGCATCACCAAAGAATTTGCAGATCACATCCTCCTGTGCGCCTCTGATCGCTCAGATTGATCTAGAAAGTAGGAAGAAACGAATAACTCATTAGATGAATAGACATTGCCGCAGGGGCACAAGAAATATGCAAAACCAACAAACTACCTCATCCCCAAGGGAAAAAATAAACTCCTCTTCATCCATAGACAGTACAATGGAACTCATGGAAATGTCTGATAAAGAATTTAGAGTATTCATAGTGACAAAGCTAACAGACATGGAAGAGAAGAGAGACAATGAAAAAAATCCAATGAGTTCCAGGAGGTGAGGAAGTTCTTGTGAGAACTGGAAGAGGAAATACACACCATAAGAAAGAATTAAATGGAACTGTTAGAGATGAAGGCTATAATACAGGAAGTCAAAACTTCCTTAAAATCAGACTAGATCATATAGAAAATCAAATCTCAGATGTAGAAGACAGAATCACTGGACTAGTAAACTCCACCAAGAAGACTGAGAAAATAATCCCCAAAAAGGAGAATAACATATGGAAATACTAGATACCATTAAACGTCCAAACATCCAGATAATTGGTATCCCAGAAGGTGAATAAGGGCATTGACAATCTACTCCATGAAATCCTGGAAGAAAACTTCACAAACCTAGAGAAGCACTCAAAGATCCAGTCCCAGGAAATACAAAGGACCCCAGATAGGATCAATCCAAGAAGATCTTTTCCAAGACACATTATAACCAGAATGACCAAAACCACAAAGACAAGATGCTCAGATTGGTAAGAGTGAAACATCAAGTTATCTACAAAGGATATCCCATCAGGTTAACACCAGACCTCTAATCAGAAAAATGCGAGCAAGAGAAGAATGGAAAATATATTGAAAGTGTTAAGTGAAAAACAATTTCAACCAAGAATACTATATCTGGCAAAATTATCCTTCATATGGGAAGAAAAGACAAAAACATTCTCAGAAAAACAAAACCTGAAAGAATTTACCAATACCAGACCAGCTCTCCAAGAAGTTCTGAAGGGAGTGCTATCCCAGAAAAACTAGTCAGATGCACAGAAATAAGAGTTCTAAAACAATTAAGAAAATGGCCAGCTTAACAGTA